TAACGGTTATCGGTTTCTATATATATATATATCTATTTCGCATAGTGAGTTGGTCTTAACATTGCTAATTGGGAAAATTTGTTCGCACAAATAGTTTGCATTTATTTCTTTACAGTGTCTTAATTTTTCGTGAGTCAGTTTTGCGTACGTGTGTTTGTCAGTATCTAAGGCTATCAGTGGATTGTTGATTTCTATTAATGTGGACATGTTTTGCTTGTGTGGTACCGGTAGCGGTATTATGTTTAGTATTTCGTATATTGAAAATGAAATTAGCGGAAAATGTAGGATTGTATAAACGTCTATTTTGTCGCAGTGCGCGCTCATCGTCGTTACTTTTTCCATCGTAGTCCAATCCTCTTCCCTTATTTTAAATGGGAAATATAATCCTTGAGGTATTTGTGTGGCTTCCTTAAGGTTTTCTATTATCTCTTCTAGTGGTATTAGTCGCGGGTGTAATATTCCACTTTTTATCGTAGTTAGATATTCTAGTGTGTCTTCCACATGTTGTATCAATTTGTCAAGTATTGCATTGGTAATTATAAAATGTTCCTTGATATTTTCGCTACTTATTTCCGCTGTTATTGTCGTTTCTAATTTTTTGATTGCTTCAGCTAAAACGTTTTCGTTATTTTGAATTATCTTTTCATTTGTTGTTTATATGCGCTATCGTCGCGTTTATAATTTTAATTTGATTTTTTATTATGTGCTCTGTCGTTTGTTGTTTGTTATGTAGAATATTTAATTGTTCGTTGATTAATTTTCTGTCATCATTGTCCATTGTTTCAAATAATGTCTTGGCAATAGTTCCTATTTCATCTATCAGTCCTCGTTTCGTTTTCGTATTTTGTGTCTTATACTCGTACAGAGAGTTTATTCTTTCGTTAAATGTTTTTATCGCTGGTAATTATTTTCAATTATGTTATTATAGTTGTGGCACGACCCTTTGTTTGTAAATTGTAGCATAGTACATATGTTTTGTGTTTTAAGACTGTATTCTTCTATTAGCTCTGCTCGTTTTTCTATTGGTGAAATATCTATTCTTATAACTATTTTCCAAAATGATTCGATTATGTTTTCTTATCTCCTCGAAGTATATCTTAGGGTAATTTTGAAGTTCTCTATTTCAAATGGTAATTTCTCTTCTCCTTCCACAGCTTCATTGGTTATCCATTTTTATTCTGTAATTTTTAAATAAAGTTTCTTATTTTTCATGAAGAGTTTGCGGTATTCGAAATCGGCGTTTCTTTTTTATCGTATTCCCTGGCATAATATTACTTTATTCTTGTTACGTCGTGACGACTGCACGATTCTTCTCTTTCGGGTATCTGTTATTAGAATTTAATTAAGCGGATAAACGAGTGACGCATGTTCTGTTACTCTGTTAGATCGCGACGGTTACGCAACTGATCTCTTCCGGAGGTCGGTTTCTAGAATTCGGCTAAGCGGATAATCCCTATTATCCTAATCGCGGAAGTACACCGATGTTACATC